ATATATATGAAAACATCGCAATGAAATCCGTTCCTCTGTATGCTTACTAAAGAAAATAATAAAGAAACAGCATCAATTTTACCCTTAGAAATAAATCATATTTATATCATCCACCTAAAAGTTAACGAATACTTTGCTCTCGGCTAAGTATATGAGGACCCAAAATGAGGAAGACAGGCTAATCTGAGCACTCCAGAAGGCTGCGGTTGGACGAGACCAGGACCATTCAGGGCGATACGACTGGAAACCAGAAACTCACAGGTGGCAGGAGCTCTTCTTACATACAGAAAAGTACAGGGACAGCACTGCTTTGTGTGGTGCAATTCCAACACTCACAAACAAAAATTTCTCAAGCCTCTTCCAGGGATGAGTGCCTTAACTGGTTGGTCAATACAGAGAGGGCTGCCCTGGGCCATAGCACACAACAACAAACATGAGATCATCAGTGTATTAATATTTTGTATATGCGCATGTGGTGTGTGTGTGTACATATGGTGTGTGTGTGTACATGTGGTGTGTGTGTGTAACAGGACTTGGGAGGGAGTGAAGGGGGAGTTAGCATAATTAATTATATTTAAATCAAAGTTTTTAATATAAAATGTTCAGATATATTTCTTGTTCTTGTTTTACATAGCAAAGTCCACTACCTCAAGATAAGCCGCATATATTTATTTGCAGGTTCAACCCAAAAGAAGAGGGACCAGCGGGTGAAAAGCCATCTCACTGTTGACCAAAGCTCAGGATTGACATCGCGTTCTTAAAAGCTAATTTAAAAAGACAGTCGTGGTCTACACAAAGGAAAGACGGCCTCAGGATGACACCCAGCTATGGAAATGATAAAAATTTTTAGCAGAGTCTCAAGCATAAGATTTGGAAGAAGAGCAGAGTCCCAGCAGGTAAGAAACAGGGAATGCAGGACACAAGGACAGGAGACTCATGGCAAAGGATGTTCGTCTCATCTGCCCGCGGCACTTTGGATACTTTGAATGCTCTAGTAATCTGCTCTGCGGCTTCCAGTCACAGGTCAGGAGAGGAAGTGCCAGGAATCCACAGGTGTGGGTGGCTGTCGGATGATGGCTTGAGAATCAGCAGTAAAGAGTCGGGAGAGTCTCAGAAGAGAAGGCTGAGACTGACCACAGAGCAAGCGCTACAAGGAAGGACAGCGTGAACAAGTGGCACGGGACAGACGGCCAGAGTTACGCTTGAAGAGTGTGATT